AAAAAGCACATCTCTATGCAGGGAGCACCCAAGAGACACAAGCACGTCCCCTAGGGTAGTGTCCAGCAGGGGAGCGATCAGCAGTGGGACAATCCTCGAAGGTGCTATTCATCTCCTCACACACATGCACAGTAGGGCCAGACCGCTCGTCCCCCTCCCCAGGCCGTATCTGCGCTCCCCCAGAGTCCAGTCTGGGCGTGGATTTTGCCGGGTTGGCGGTCACCTGGCTCCCACCTCCTTTCGGCTCCCGCTCGTTACGGCTGTCGGAGAGTTGCAGAGAGGACAGGGTGCTGGACGAGCCGGCGCCATCTTGAGAAGATTCCAAGGGTTCTATGGGACCCTTTAGGTCTGGCAGGAATTTTAGGAGGGGCCCCAAGTTACAATTTTAAGGTGAAGATTACATGCGGCCATGGCGATACACATTACACAGGCATGTTGACACAGTTTTTATTTTCCAGGAAGATGGTCCAGGGAAAAAAAGTGCAGCTGATATCGGAAGCATGCATGTTTGCAGTGGCCGAAAGAAACTGGAGGAGATGTAAGGATTAAAAAAAAAAACGAGGCAAGGGGTCCTTTGCTCAGCCATCATTTGAAAAGTATATTCATTCTTAAGAGGCTTAGTCAACCCAAACCTGTTATGTTAGCAATGGAAGGCCTGTGACAAATCACTGCACCTTAAAAGACACACAAACTCTTTGGTAGGACTGATGGGCCGAACACACCTGAACATGGAAAAAGTTTGAACTCAAACTTTGAACTCAATGAAAGTCTATGGGACCAGAACTCTGAAGATCAAATTCCCCCATTTTGAAGCCTTTATGCAAGTTATTGGCCATAAAAAGTGTATGGGGATTCGGGTACTGCCCTGGGGGACATGTATCAATGAAAAAAACACTTTTAAAAAATACAGTTTTTATAGGAGCAGTGATTTTAACATTACTTAAAATTAAACAATAAAAATTAAAAATTAATTTAAATGTTGTGCCTGGGGGTCCCCTTAAATTGCCTGTAAAGTGGCGCATCTGTACGATGTATATAACCTGCTGCAGCAAAAAGTGACATTTATAAAGAAAAAAAAAAGGCG